AAACAGCATTATATTTAGAAGACACTATCCAAATTCTCCATAATTGTGTTGTAACTTAAAGATTATTTTAATTGTTGACATTTAAAATAAAATTGCAGTTAGAAGAAGGTGTTGGCACATGCCTACAATCTGAACATCATGGAGGTATCCCATGAGATCATCCTCAACTACACAGTGAATTGAAGGATAGCCTGAGCTAAATGAGAACTTATCTCAAAAATTTCCAAAAATTAAAAATGTAAGTGAAATAAAAAAGTACTGTGCTACCTTTTAAATTTAGTTGATGTTCTAAAAATGTTATATATTACATTTTTAAATGTAATTTTTAAAATTACTTTTTAACATTTGGAATTTTTTTTATAATTATGTTTTCATTCTACTCACACAAAAAGTTTTAGTCAATGGCAGTATAGTTTTATTCTTGGAATTTTAAAAAATTACATCATAAATTTTACAAGAAACTATATATAAAAACAATTTTAGATTTTTTCATGTATTATCATACCATCTTACATTAACCTCCAGATAAAAGTGTAGCTTGATTTTTCCGCCTTGCCCACAGTCAGGACAAATCTTTGTCACCCGCCAGTCCCACAGCCGCTCAGACCCAACCAAGTAAACACAGACACTTATATTGCTTTCAAACTGTATGGCCATGGCAGGCCTCTTGCCAACTGTCCTTATCTTGCTAACTGTGCTTTTATCTTAAATTGATCCATTTCCATACATCTATACCTTGCCATGTGGCTGGTGGCTTACTGGCGTCTTCACATGCTGCTGGTCATGGCAGCGGCTGCAGTGTCTCTGGTCATGGCGGCGGCTGCAGCGTCTCCTTCTGCCTTTCTGTCCTTTTATCCTGCCTAGCCACGGCCGATCAGGTTTTATTTATTAACCAATCAGAGCAACTTGACATACAGATCATCCCCCAGCACAGCCAAGTGCAGACCATCTCAAACACCTGCACTCAGGCCCATGGTCCTAATCATCCTCTATACGGACCTGCTGGGTAACGCCACAAAGAACCTGAGAATGGGCTCCCACAGGACCTACAGAACATCCCACAGCATAAAAGAATGTAATATAAATCTTCACAATTTTCTATTAAAAATGAAATTATATCAAGTGCCATTTCTTTATGAGATTAATGGGGCTTAAAATTTAGACCATAAGAAGCTAGAGAGATTAATCAGCAGTTAGTATTAACTGCTTTTACAGGGGGATCTAGTTTGGTTCCCAGCACCTATGCCAGGCAGCCCATAACCACTTGTTACTCCATCCATCTCCAGGAGATCAAAAAACATTTTCTTGCCTCTGAGTACATATGCACTCACATGCACACACACACACGCATGCACGCACATGCACATACACACATGTACACCCCAATTTTTTAAAAAATGAAATAAATTATTTAACAATTATTTTAAAAGAAATATATTTTTTAAATTAGCTCATGAGACTGTGAATATGATTTATAGGTTGAATGAAATGTCTTATTAATATTATGTCTTATTAATAAATTTAATTCTTTGTCCTTTTAAAAATATGGATGTTATGAATCCTTATGTATATCTAAACTTATATTGAAATAAAACCAAAAATGTATATGATTTTTAAAATATTTATGACTTTGCCTCCAGAATTACTTATTTTGTGAATATTTGGATACAGGGCAACTGTATCCATCTGTTCAATTAACTATCAGATATGTCTAATACTTTCACACAATTGAACCTTTTATAATATGCTCAGAAATGGACATAAATGTACTATGAATTTTTAACACTATTGTGTGTTCTCTTGTGTTATTTAATATGCCTTTTAAAAACTGTATTTAACGTTATTTTTGGAGTTGATGATCATATATTAGAGATATCACCCATTTAGCTAATGGGAAAAAACAATTTCTTGTTGAAAAGTATTGCTCAAATTAATTTTATATTTTGCAAAACTGCACACATATATATGTAATTTAACTTTGTTTTTAATTACAAATATTTTGATTTAAATTTGAAAGAAATGAGAATGCAATAGATTTTGTAACTCATACTTAAGCATTGCCACTAATACATAAATATTAAAGTCATATGGATCAACTATGATAATTTTATTTTAGCATTATGTTAAAAATGAGACAATGTTTGAACTTCTAATTTTGAAGAGTCATTTTTAAGTGTAAGTGTTTTCAGCTAAATAAGAAAAATATAAACTTCTAAATGAGACATCATTGCTTCTGACACATGACTCTAGGAGGTCACTGACTCCAGAACATCAAATTATATAAGAACCACGCTTCTCATGTACCCAATAGACACATTACACAGAACCAGAGGCCCTCATCTTTAATGATTTTTGGTGGACAGTCTTGAAAATTGGAAATATCCCAAAGGATATTTCTTTATCTTGCAAAGTTGATCTACTGCTATTACAAATATTAGTATATTTTCAGGCAGACAAGTTTTAAGAAAGCATGTGCATGGATGGCACTTATCCTTTACAGTGCTCCACAATTACATGCTCCTTAGAAAGCAAGGTGGTGTGAACCTATCTACAGTTCACACTCCTGCGTGAGACGACTGCTCCACATACAGTATTAGACAAGCAAGGAACAGAAAATGTAACTTTATATAATATTTGACTTTCCTAAGTAATTCTTTTAGAGAACTACATAATAAAAATGATTTTCTCATGAATTAGTAACTGGGATGGTCATTGTGGAGTGTTTTGTAAAAGCACAAAATATTTTAAAACTGGAATGTTGAAAATATATAAGCAACAAGCACATAAATACACGAGGTACTACATGAAATGCCCTAAGGTGTATTTATACATAGAAACACAAACCACAGAATAGTATCCAAAAATTTCATCCATTTTAATAGCCTGTTTAATAATCAATCTTTGCAACCTTGAGATTAGCTGACTGGACCATTATTCCACATCAAATTAGAATTGCAAGATTCACCCATAAATAACAGTGTGATAGAATTTTTCTTTTATAACTTTGGTAAGACCAGAAATACAAGAGCAAACAGAAATACAGTTCTAAGTGATTTAAATAAGATGCCGTAGGAAGACACAGGGAAGTCAAATAAAATACATTGTGGTCTGGGTTAAGTGAAATAATGGCTAAACAGTGAATACATTTGAATTGAAAAGCATGTTAATGGACAGTCATTTAGATGGGTAGAAATCACTTGGTTCATGTCAGGAGATTATCATTCTGGGCTACTAAAAAATGACCTGAATTTAAAGTCAATTATCTTCCTACTTTTGAATATGGAATACTTCAAAGTATTAGGAAATATGGTATATAAATCCCTTAGATTATCCTGACTAATGCTTTTACTAAAGTTTGGAAAAGTAACCTAAACCATTACTGGGTAGATTTTTGTTGGTGATTTGAGGATTCAAGGCAGTGATGGGAGGAAAAATATTTAAGCAACTTTATGGATCTTTGTTGTATGCTAATAATTTCACAAAAATGAACTTTTAAATTAATCACAATATGAAAGTCAAATCAGAAAGGAGAGCCATTTAACTAAAAAGTAAATATTTTCATATATGGGTAGAATATGATTTTTTGAGATGTTTAGTAATTCAATTTGTTAATAAAAATAATTTTTCCACTTGATTTTCTCTCTCCACGTACAATTAAAACAGACATGTTCATGACATATAATTTCCCTACAGGTAGTAGCTCGTTAGTTGAAGTTTGACTATGTCCTAATCAGTAGCTATGAAATATCAGCCTCGAAAAGACCCTGTTGTCCTCACAAGGTTTACATATCAATCTAGAATTTCAAAGTCTGAACCTGAAAACTGAATTCTGACTTGAATTTTTCAATTCTCATCCTCCGTTTTGAGGTCAGAATAATTTCCTTTCTCCTCATAGCACTTCAAAAACACATTTGTGTCAGGATGGCTTTGCCACACTGGAACCTCACTAGCTCAGTTCTTTTTGTTGTGGTGTTAATCAGAGATTCTAATTTTCCTCCAACTAGTATGGCATTGACCACCTGCTCAGCCTGCTCACTCACACCTAAGTCTGGACTGGATATATTGATTACATTCAATCCTATTGTTGAATCCTTAGTGATCTTTGGAGGGTAACTTATACTGAGTAAATAAATCAAGGTTATTCTAATACATGTGTGCATCGGCAACTTAACAACCACAGTAGAATCAAGCAGTGCCTCGTTTTCACTCACATCAAGTGTACTCAGGTTGGTAGCCTTGGTTTTCATCATCATTTTCAGAGATGTTTTCTATGCTTGGTTGGAAAAGTCTTGGTCCTTTGAGGCAACTTGTTCCAAAGATGTACCACTATACCCTGAAGCATGCTGCTCCTAACTATGATTGGTCACCAATGCCCTATCTTTCCCTACAAGGAAATGCTCTACATCATTTCCACACATCCCAGGCAACTTCTTCCCTCGGGAATGACCAATATATACATTTACTGATACGACTTTCCCCCCAAGACAGCATGATCCACACTATGATGGCTATTATATATCATTGTCATTCATTACCTGAGATACAAAATATTGACCATAAAATATGAAAAGCAAAGAACATAAACTTTTACACTCAGTAAATCTGACTATAATAAAAGTAAATATGGGCATCATCAATTTAGGGACCATTTTCATAGCTACAGAATTCTCTGGCACTGAAGAAATCTCAGTCTACATTGGTCCATATACAGACAGAGTTATACAAATGCACTGACCTCCACTAAAATAGCAACTGAAAAATATTTGGATGAGCTCACTTGGAGGTCAGCAGTTCTTTCTAATTGTGAGCTTTACATATTCTTGTTAAACAAACCTGTATATAAGAAGCATGTAAAAAAAAGAAGCATGTTAAGTAACAATATAAGTGAGAAGCATCTAAGTCATGCTCAAAATTAATTATATATATATATATATATATAATATATGAATTATATATATATATATATATGAAGGAAAACACTGGAAAATGAACAAACCAACCTTTTCTTTTCAAGGGAGGTTCTTCTATTTCTCCTAAATCAAGAAAAAAATAGAAAATTAGCATAACTGGGAGCAGGGATTTGCTCTTTACTCATTTTGCTATTTACTCATTTTTTTGCAAGCTATTGCTTTCAATAGTCCTGATTCTTACATACTTTGCTACCTAAATTCCAAAGTACATGCTTTGTTTATATATACTCACCTAAGATGGTTTCATTTTATGAGTTTAATAAAACTGCAGCAGTGCTCCAAGTTACTGCATTATAGCTCATGCATCATATTAATTTCAATTTTCTCTGTTTATTGTCACTTCTCACAGGGCCAGAACAGAAATAAATTCAGACAAAGTCATAAAAGGGTTTCTAATAGTCAGAATTTTCCTGCTGGGTAAGACTGAATGGATAATCTTGGATGAGTAAGAGTAACCATTTTTTTTTAAATTTCATTTAACAGACTGGATCACTGTACTTTCTCCTTTGTAAACCCTCTAGATGCCAATTTATATACAGCTTGTTCATCCATTTACTTTTGTTCATTATATGTGAGCTGCTACCTTGTGTAATATTTAAAATGTATCTTTCCATTCTATACCTCCATTTGATTCCATCACTGCATGTTTTGATTGGGCTTTTATTAAGATTGGTTACCGCCATGCGACTATTACTATGGCTTGCTTGTACAAAACACATGATTGTTGGTTTTAATATTTTTGTTTCAATCCTCCTAGACATGAACTTGAAAAGTAGCTACTCTGTCTCAAATAAACTGTAATCTGTTGTGGTTTTATTTAGTTGTTTATATTAAGAATCCCTGCTATAATGCCACTCTAATAGCAGCATTTAATTTTGATATCTTTTCCATAATGGCAGATAAACTATAAGATTAAAGCCAAATGGAGAGCGATTTACTCTATTTGGCAGCTTACTGGAGTGCTTTTTGTACTCAGACATGTATCCATTTTAGTTTAGCCTGCCCAAGTGCTCCTTTGGGCTAAACCGTCGGCTAGCCAATGTCAAGTGTGCCCAATTCCCAGTCATAGGTGTTAGATACAACTCTGTGTCCTGGCTACCTTTATCAATGTCTTCATCTGCATCCTCATCCTCCTCATCACCTTCAGATGAGATGATGTCAGAAAGCAACGAAAAGAAGCCGTAGATCCAGTCAGTGGTTTCCTCCACAGCATCATTGACGAACTTTAAAGGATCTGAGCCAATCTTGGCAATGGAGCTTGCTGAAAGACAGGAAAGCAAAGGAAAACCTTAGGTCATTGCCAGAGAACCTAAGAAAATTTGTTTCCTAGAAATATCTCTGGGCTACTTGTTTTTGCAGAAAAGAAATACATATTCTGCTGTAGTATGATCATAAAATAGTATATAAATATATAAATACATGTGCATACATATATATGTATATATATCAAAGGGAAGTAACTTAAATCATCTGGTACTAAGCATTACAGAATTAACAAAAAGAAAATTACCTTAGTAATGACTGTAAACTAAATATATGGGTTGGTTAGCAAAAATAAGGAATAAATCAAATAATATATATTTTCATTACACAAGTTTGAAAGTCACTGAGTTATAGTTGTTCAGGAAGGTTGAAAAAGTCATTGGCCCATGGAATGCTTCACAGCATCATGTAGATGATGACCATGTAAATCTTCACATAAGGCCTACAAACTTGTTATGGGTTATATACAGAGAGAAGAGAGAGAGAGAGAGAGAGAGAGAGAGAGAGAGAGAGAGAGAGAGAGAGAGAGAGGGAAACTTGGAGTTATCAAGGTGGTGATTTTGTCAAATTGAGCAAAGTTCATTAAATTTAAACATTTTGAAATTCTAGTATCTTAAAATTTTTTAAATGTAAACTCTTTAAACTTAAATTTCAATAACAGAATTAGGTAAAACAAGCCTATTAATCACACTATTATTGTGTCTTGGAAGATTTTTTTTAAGTCATAAAATGAGAATTTAAATTAGAAAAAATACAAATTTATTGGAATTTATAAAATGCTGTTCTAATCATATGAAAATTTTTCTGAAGACAGAAAAGTAGTTTCTAATATCTGCTTGAGTGATTATGTAGAAATACTGCATAAAATGCACCTGAGCTTTCATTAATATGTAATTAAGTTTTAGAGTTATTTTTCTGAATTTTAAAAACTAGTTTTGCTTTTCAAACAATCTTCTCCCTTTGATATATTTAAAAGATCAGAATTAAATCAATGTACTATGTCATCTAAAGGTTAAGTGTTCCAAAATCAAGCTTTCATTCTGATTAAGATGGGAAGTCACTCAAGGGTTTGAGTAGGTTTAGTACTGAGGGTTAAAATGATCTCAGGTTATAAACAGGCAGACAGTGAAGAGCCAAGTAAAATAATTTAGAGAGTGGATGATCATGGTGCATCCCAGACTGGAGGAAGGGCATGTACCTTGCCACCAGGCTGCTGATGTACTTCAGTAGTACAACTCAGGGTGCATGCATAAATGCTTTCATTTTGCCTTAGCATGTGAGAGAGATAGAACTCTAGACTGTAAAAAAAAAAAAAATCAAATGAACAAATGAACACATAGAAGTGAACAATGTGTTCTAAATATTACAACAAGTATGCATCTTGCTGATGTTATTTTATAATCTTGTGTGTGTGATACTGGGGTTGTAGCAGTGGCATTGACTTGGGATGGGGGGGGCTTGGAGAGACATACCATCAGCTTTTTGTTGTTTGGTCTGGATTGAGGGGAGAATGAAGAAGAGAAGTGGCTGAGATTCAGACCTTTCACATACCTACAGTGATGCTTGGGGGTAGCTACTTCATCTAATCTATAAAAGAGATGTTTTACTTGAATTGGGAACTTGAAAGCACCAAAGGGATGGAAGGTATCAAATTCATGATGCTCAGTGAGACCTCTAAGAGAGGAGGCTCAAGAAGACCACACTATCTAGAAGGCTGGGGGGTACATTAGAAGTGGGGAGTGGGGAAGCAATTGGATTTAATATGGGATGAAGGAAAGGACCAGGAGAGCATGAAGTGCTAAAAATCAAGTAAAGAAATCATTTGAGAAAAATAGAGTTTTCAAGTCGCAAATGATGCTGTTAGGGGAAGAAAAGGAAGTCATGACAGACAAGCCATGTGATGAATATTAAGGATGTCCTCATGTGAGCCTCTCCACACACAATATGAGTAGAGTTGGTTCAGGTATGAGCAAAATTTGGAGACAGTGAGTCTTCTTTACTACCAGTGACAAAGAATAAGAGATATCTGAAGGAGAATTGATGTCTTAGGTGGTTTTCTTATGTTTTCAGTGTTATTGAAGTGGGAAGGGTACACTTTACAGATCCCACAGAGAGAAGAGAAAATGAAAGGAGAGACGGGAACTCCAGAGGGAACTTTCCAGCTCTTGTTTTCTTTAGGGCAGTGGTTCTCAACCTGTGGGTCATGACCTTTTTAGGGGTTGAACGGTCCTTTCACAAGGGTCGCATATCAGATATCCTGTGTATCAGATTATTTACATTATGATCCATAACAGTTAGCAAAATTACAGTTATAAAGTAGCAACAAAAATAATTTTATGGTGGGGGGATCACCACAACATGAAGAACTGTATTAAAGCAGCATTAAGAATGTTGACAACCACTACTGTGGGGGTGGTGGTGGCACAAAGGCTGCACAATAACCTTAGATTAAAGAACAGGAGGAGTCAGGGAGACTGTCTGAGTTATTCATTGTTGTTGTACCTCTGCTCTGTCTACTTCATTTTGCTACATTCATGTGTAGCTCCATTAGGTCAAGGAAAAATATTGCTCTGAATGTTGAGGTTAAAAGGAAAGAAAATTGAATTTTATAATTGCAATTGAAAATTTTATAATTGCAATTAAGTGATTTAAAAGATTACATGCAATGATCTATATACCAGTTTTAATAAACATACTTTAGCCCTGATAGCTTCCCTCTGGTTGAAGAATACTGCAATGAGATTTTTCACTCTGGAATAAATAAAGACTCTTTCCTCACCCTCCTTAGGTCTAACAAAATTGGTTTCAGTTTGATTATCCTTAGGATTAAACACACTAGAGGCATTTAGCACCTCTAAGGATAGAATACAGTCAGGTCAGGCTGTTTTCATGAAGGTAACATTGCTGCCTTGAGACTGAACTTCTGATTTTCAACCAAGCAGATAGTTACTTTAAAAGTCTAACATATCTATTTAAGACAATCCATAAAATTGATAGTTTACAGATATCATACCTAAACCACGTTATAATAATGATCTTATACAAGGCAATTAAAACTCTGACTAGTGACCTTTTAAAAAGATATAATTCTGGTTCGGGTCCCAACTGGCCATCTCTTGTCACCAAATAAAGTTCCTCACACCAGATAGAGTTATATCCAATTGAGTTGTTGGCCAAAGGAGTCCCATGGAAATCTCCAAACAACTTGGGTTATTGCCAAGGTCATGGGTTGCTCCCCATAAACTGACAGCAAGGCCTCATTGCTGAAGACAACACTCATGCAACTCATTGAACATGGAGAGGTTGAGTTGATGCCCATATAAAACCTTCAGCCCTATGTTCTAGCATCTTTGGTCTGTGAAGGTACTCTCCAGGTTACCAAAGAAGAACCATACACACCAACCCAGCCACAAAATCTTTAATCTACAATGTTGGCTTCCTTGCAAAATACACTGGGGCAATGATGGCACAAAGCTCATGGGAGTAAACAACCAATGTCTGATTTGACTCAAGGCCCATTCCTTCCGGGAGATGGAACCCATATCTGACATCACTTGGGTTACCAAGAACCTGAGACTAGATAACTCAGAGACCTAGGGTAGAGCTAAATATTACTGGTCTTTTAAAAGGAAAAAAAGAGTAATGATAAAAGTAGTGATAAAATGGTTCCTAATGATAATCTCTGTACTCATAGACCAGTGATTTATCCAGCCATCACCAGAGTAGTTTCCTTTACAGCATATGGGGAAAAGAATAAAGAGATCCACAGGCAAACATTACACAAAGAGTGAGAGACTTTGGAACACTCAGCTGTAAATAGGATGTCTCCATCAAATCCCCATCTTAGGAGCTCAGGGAATCCCATGCAAGAGAAGGTAGAAAGAGTTTCAGAGGAAGATGGGATAGAAGACTCTGGGAGAACAAAGTCCTCTAAAACAGCCGAGCAAAGCTCCTATGAACTCACAAAGCCTGGAAGCCCAGGGCCTACACAGGTCTGCAAAGGTCTTCATCTAAATATCATGACCTTAAGTTTAGTGTCTTTATAGGACTCCTGGGTGTGTGGATAAGTGAGTCACTGATTCTTGTACCTTCTCTTGGGCTCTTTCCTTTCCTTTGGTTTGCCTTCTCCAACTTCAGTGTGAATGTTTTTGTATTATCTTATATTTTATGTTGTTGCTTTTTTTTTTTTTTTGGTATCTTAGAAACCCGTTTTATTTTCTAATGAGAGACAGAAAGCGTGTGGATCTGGATGGCAGGGCAAGGTAAGGAGAAACTGGGAGGAGTAGAGGGAGGGGAAACTGTAAACAGTATATGTTGTATGAGAAAAGAATCTTTTTTCAATAAATCGGAAAAGATAAATCTCATTATGTATACTACCAGAGAGAAAGAGGATGGGATAGATAGAGAGACAATCCTGTAACTCAACTTTCACTTCTCTGTGAGTTAAATTTCACACCTAACAATGAGGATTTTCAAAAAATAATGGTAATTAAAAATCATTCTAATTGATTTACACGTATTAACTCACTATTTTTCTTTTGATAACCCAATGAAGTATATATAATATTTTATTTCTTTCTTAAAATATTGTAAAACTGAAGCTCAGAAAGCTTGCATTGATAGAAAGTGATGGAAACGGGTATTGCATCCATGTTTAGACCTCCCGTACAAGACCTAACTACTGTGCTATATGATATCAAACAAACCAAAACATGAATTCATAATCAGTTTTAGGGTATGATTTGGGATGGGCATATTCTGGGAGGGGATTTCTTGCTGTTTAAAATGAAAAAAGCATTTTATTCCACATGGAAATGCCCTAGCTGATTCAGGTAATTTGAAGATATCAGGTGAGAAGTCTGGGAAAGGAAAGATTAAAACATGAAAAAAATTGAATTCATGATGACATGGCTAAAGCAGCATATGATACAATGTTGGTGTTGCTGAACCAATAGCACTTTTATTTATGATATAAAAATGTTTCTTAGTGTTAAATTC